CCCATGGGACTGGGCACTCATCACGATAAGTCATGATTTTCACTGATACCACATCCAAGGGGTCAAGGGCAATGGCAGACTCAGCAACATGTTTCTCAACGTAACCTTGTCCAAGCTGAACCAACGTAGCCTCAACCAGAAGTGGTTCTTGGTTGAGTGAACAAATGCACGGAACCATCATCTTGGCGTGGGGCAAAGCAGTCTGGACATGATTGGGCGGATCATCCAAAACAATCATTGCGAGTGGGCCACTGGAAACTGCCTGTCCTGCTTTCAGATACGGAGAAGCATCCTTCAGGGAGAGTACAGCGATACCATTGGCCACAGGACCAATCTGTTGTGCAGAGATTTGCGGCAACGGCTGTCCTCCATACCTGAATGCACCTTCAAGCAGAGTCAATTTTGTCGGATCAATGACATTCGGGACAGGGGCCTTTGCATTGATTTTGCTGGGCTTGATTTTCTTCCCCACCATGGAACCCTTGTTGGCATCAATCAATGTTTCCAATTCAGCAGGGAGAATGAACTGAAATTTGACGTTGCTACCAACTGCTTTCAAGGAGCGCCAAACATTTTTGGCCTTCAGGGCATTTTGGATAGTGTCACTTCCAATGGCACGGATCGCTTGAAGTGCACGTTGTTCGAGCATCTGCTCAGGCACTCCGTGCTTGGCAAGAACATCAGTCAAACTTTTCACCAGGGCAGCCGAGGGTCCGGAGCCCCAAGCAACTGGGCATCTGCAACACTGATTTGTCAGGACCGCCTGAACAAAACTGGCTTTCATATTCGAGTGCATATTCTGGAGCACAGATAGGTCATTTGGCAATCCTGCTCCAACAATGACTTGCCCAAGAAAGGCAAGGGCAGCAGCCCCACAGTAGTCATGTACAGGAAGGCGTTGAGGAAACCAATGAATGACATGGTCAGCAAACCCAAGTTGAGTACACAAAACATCCACCATGGGCAAAATACGCTCAAAGGGCGTACAGCCGTCATGCATGAAGTGAAATGTCAAGTGACTTGTACAAGGAACTATCCAAATGGGCACCCAATGGTTATCAACAAACTGCGCAGTGACAATGTGCACACCTCTTTCTTTCACTTGCGTGTGCCCGACACCAGGATTCACAAATCAATTTGCCAACCGTATCCCAAGTGGAGAACAAGAGCGGCTCAAGCATGAGAAAGCCAGGAATAGAACAGGGAGTGCAGTGACCCTTGTCAAAACGCTCAATCAGGTTACTGATGTGAAACCGAATCTCATCATCACCCCACTGTTTGCCATGGGTCCTCAACAGTTCCATTCGGGTTTCGGCAGGAATGCAGCTGTGAAATTGTTGATGTCCACTGTGTCCACACTGGTTACTCCCAACCGAGCTGGTCCCAGCAGTTGCACTTGCATCACCATTACCCCACAAAACTGGGCAAGCAAACTTGTCAGCACCAATCAAAGCAAGGCGAAACAGATCTCTCATCAAGTCATGCATGACCTCTAGCTCTCCATGGGTTCTGGGCAGGTCTGTTTGCAACAAGCGATGTGACAGATATGCAATTGCTAATGCTCCACATTTGTCCTCCACCTGAAAGTCTCGGTCAAACTGTGCAAAAACAAATCGCAGATTTCCCAAGTTTTGAGCAATTTGTGCACCCAGCTGGTGTACCAGGGTATGATCAGCAAAGGACTGATTCCATGTTTCAATTCGAAAAATGCCAGGTTCACGAAACAAGAGGACAGGAATCCAGTGTTGGTCTAAATTATAAACCGTAACCGTGCAGATGTTCTCCTCATGCAAGAAGTCCTGGACATTCGAAATCCCCATCTCCCCTTGAGCACACATGGTGAACAGGACAGGATCAATGATATTGATTCCGGCACTGCTTGGAAACGTACAAGACATCATACCGACCTGTTCTTTCAATCGCTGAAGTTGAAAAAGCACTTCATCATTTGCCCACAACCCTGATTGGCAATCAAGCAAACATCGTCTGGTTTCACCGTCAAGCCAAGAGGAATTCTGGGATCTTGCATAGGCATGACATTGAGCAAACTCAGCGGGATTAGTCTTCTTCAAATCAAGATTCTCAAGAAAAGGAATGTTCTCTCCTTGATCTCCCAGACCCTGACCACCGTTCAAGGCAACCGGAGGCTCAGGCATCCAGCATGCGCAATCACCACCATTCGGCATCCAATGAAAAGAATCAACACCCGGACCACGGCCCCAGTGACTGGGACAGCGACAGCATTGGCTTTCAAATACAGCTTGAACAAAACTCGCTTTCATGTTGGAGTGAGCATAGTTCAATTCAGTGCAATCTGGCGGGAGATGGGCATCCACGATCATATGTCCCAGAAAACAAATGGCAGCGGCCCCACACAAATCATGAGAAGTTACATGCTGAGGAGTCCAATGAATCACATGTTCTGACTTGCCAAATTGGTTTCCTAAGTGATCAAGGAAAGGGCGGATGGAATCAAGCTTGGTGATACCATCGTGCTGCAAGTGCACCAGCATGTAGTTACTGCAGGGTTCAATCCACATCGGAACCCAGTGATCATGAACCAGAAGGGCTGTGACAATGTGGTGTGAGGCCTGAACCACCTCAGGATGTCTCCTACACCATTCAGAGCACTTCTCTTTGCCACCTGCTTCCCACTCCAGCAGCGCCAAAGGGTCAACCATGCAGAAACCCGGAATGTCAAATTTCCAATGCTCATCCTTCTCAGCACGATGTTTGAGCATGTTTTGAATGTGATACCTGATTTCATCATCAGCCCATTCCTTGCCATGTGTGCGCAGCAACTCAAGACGGTGTTCAATCGTAATGCATTCATGAGCACCTTCCAACACATTGAGGGAAGAACTACTAGCCCCAGGATTGTCTCCACATCCCCAAATCCATGGTCTGGTCACATGCTGACAATTCGTCAACGCATGGGCAAAGGTGGCTTTAAGCCGCTGATGGATAACCTCAATCTCCTCAACTGTGGTTGGCAGCATCGTTCCTATCAGCGAAAATGACAGGAAAGACATGGCAAGTGCTCCACATTTGTTGGTTGTCAGGAAAAGTCTGTGATGTCGATCAACAGTAACATGGAGAAAACCCAACCCTTTCGCAAGCAATTCGCACATTTGGTTGACTTGAGAATGGTCGTGACCTGGTGCATCCCATGTGTAAACATGTAAAGTTTCACCATTGGGGGTCAAGACAACCGGGATCCAATGCTGAGCAAGCATGCACACCGTAATTACAATGGATTGCTGCGATTTGACTTCAGGATGAAGAAGTCCCCACTCATGACACTCATGAAGACCATGATGCAACCACCCCGTAGCCAACAGGGGATCCAACACCAGACAACTTTTGGATTGTGTGACTCCATGCGCTTGTTGATGGCATTCAAACTGCTGCACCAAGGCAAACATATGATGCCTACACTCATCATCACTCCAAATGTCAGACTGTCGATCCAAGATCATCGTTCGGTCAGTCACATGCAAGACTTGATTGGTTAAAGACTTCAGATGCTGGTCATTGACTACAGCTGGAGCCTTCAATTGCAGAAACTGTTCATCTTGCAAGCCCAGCAAAGGAGCCGCAGAGATCCAAGATGTCTGTGCTTGGGCTCTGACACTCATCACGACACCAGGCAGTTCAGAACCCGTACCTACCTCCCTTTTATCAGAGGGATCCTGTGGTGGACATGTCCATTGCACCGTCGGGGAAATCTCCCTCGCAACAGGTTTGGAAAGCAACTGATTCTTGGCCGGTTCAGTCGGTACACAATCCGGTGCAACAGCTGAAGGTTCAAATGACACTGGGTCTTGGCCGGATGCTCGGGTGCAACTCAAGTGCTCAGGTCCAGGAAAAGATTCGACAAAACGGTCACCCCTGCCTAGTGCAACATCCACCTGCGAATCCATGAGAGTCGGCAGCAGTTCACAAGCTTCAGTTCCACTGGGTGGCTTGTCCTCACACCTAATGCAAATGACCTGACCAGGAGTCAACACTTGCTTTGGGGAAATTTCCACATGATGTTGGTCAAACACATTAGTGACCTGCACGGTACCCACTAACTTGGCATGTGCCTGAACAAAATCATGAATGGTGCATCCAGGTGTGGCAGTCACTGTGATGGGGTCAGCAAACTCATGATAAAACACGACAATACATGCTTCATTGTTTGGAGGAGGCAATTGCGGATGGTCAGGTTGGAACTCAAACCAAGGAGTCGGAGACGCATCATCAATCTCAATTTCATCAGAATCGGGTACCTCAGTCTCGGGACAAGACCCAACCTGTCTAGGCAAACGCTGTTTCTGTCGAATCACAGCATCCAAACCACCAACCAGGATATTATGGGATATCACTAGTGATGTATATCCCCCAAATCATCCCAGATCCAAATGGCTAATACAAGTAGCGAAAGTGATGAAGCCCATGAAATCATGAAGCAACCCAGCCTCATGAGATTCACCCAATGGGGAATTCCTGCTGGATCACATCTCGTCCACAGTGGCAACAATCACCGTACCGCAACTTCGTGGATCATTTTAGGTCCTATATGAGGAATAGGTCACCGACCACAGAATTTAATCAAAAAATCTAAACATCTCTTCAAACGTGGCTAGTGGCTCACATCGTTTCTGAGCCTAAACCAAACTACTGGTAGGGTAGAATGAATGAGCCACTTCATCAGTTGGTTGCGATAAGTAGGTTCATCAAATGCCATCAAAACACAAACAGACTTGAAACATACCCAACCTTAACCAACGATGTTTTTTTTAAACAACAACAACTTTGGAATACTCTGGATGATGGTGCTATCTGGGCAACTGAGTGCTGGATCTGACGTCAGATTCTCCAAATACCACCAACAAAAAATGTAAAAAAACCTTAAATTATGCCATGGGCCATGGGGTAAACATAGGTAAAATATGGTAAAATCATGGGTAAAACACCATTTTAACAGGTGAAAAAACGGGGTTACCGGGTTGAATCAAACGGTACCAGCATTCTTGGGTCCTGCACGCCGCAGCTTTTACGAACTGCTGAGAACAGCGCGTAGGCTCCAAACAGTACGATGTCCACCTGAAGAAAAAGGGTCCAAAAATTGCTACCCTCTGGTTATGTCAAAATAGCTATTGAAAATGGCCATTTATAGTTGATTTCCCTATTAAATATGGCGATTTTCCATAGTTATGTTAGTTTACCAGAGGGTATCTCTGGTGGAAAAGATGGCTCACTAGTTCAAGGCTTTCGCCCTTGTCCGATGATTTGGCGGTGATTTTCCAGCGAACTGTGTTTTTTTAACCAGAGGGTACCGAAAAAAAACATAGAATTATCGATGTATAAACTCAATGCCATCAACATCCATAGACCATCGGATTCGTAACGAGCGTTTACCTACCGCTTGAAGGGACGTTGATCTGCGGTTCCACGGCTTCGGGATTCAGCAAGGTCAAGGTCGTCAATTTTCATAATGTTGTGACGGTCACCCATTCTCAGGCATGCGAATAAACCCAAAAAATATCAACACATGGTTTTCCCATGTTTTCCCTTCCAGGAATCCAAGAACGCACCTAGGTGTAGTTCGCTCAGCAGCGATTTTTCCTTGGTTGTGAGGTATAGACGATATAGACATATATAGGCGATATGGATGATGGATGATAGTAAACATGACTTCTGGATACTTCCTTACTGGTGCTTAGCAGGGAATGAGGGAATGATCCATAATCACTAGTAATAATAATCCCATTCCCCCAGCAACCCATCCATTCCCTACTAAGCACCAGTAAGAATAATGTAAAATCAAAATCTGCTGTTTAACAGTTTTTCCTCAGATATAATGAATCATTTGAGACAAACCGATTTTGTCAAGGTCTGGAAGAAGAATACTTTGAAATGTAGAAATAAGTACAACATGTCTACAGTAGATTATGTATATATATATATGTATATATGTATAGTATATAAATATATATATATATGTATATGTAAATAAATTTATATATATACATATATATGTATATATGTATCTATGTATATATATATATATGTATATATATATGTATATGTATATATATGTAAATATATATATATATGTATATGTACATATATATATATGTATATATATATATATGTATATATGTACATATGTATATGTATATGTATATATATATATGTATATGTAAATATATATATATATATGTATACATGTATACATGTATATATATGTATATGTATATGTATGTATATATAGGTATATGTATATGTACATGTATATGTATATATATATATGTATATGTATATATATGTGTATACATATGTATATATATATATGTATATATATACATATATATATATATGCAAATTTGTCGATGTACCATGCTTTCATGCGTGCGTTTTTTTCCCGCAGGTTGTGCGCATAATAATATGTATCTCTCTATATGTGTATATATATATATGTGTGTATATATATATGTATTATATATATATATGTATTATATATATACACACATCAATACCTAGGCTTTCCAAGTACTTGAACTGGTACTTTGACCATTTGTAGGGGGTATTTGGAGGGTCTAGGTATATCGATATATGACCTACTTATCGTTATTGTTCGTACAATTGCTTTAGGGTTGTTTTTGGTTTGACCAACAAATACCCGCACCATTCAAGGTTTAGCCTTGTATGTGGGTCATGCCCAAAGATACATGACAGGATACATGGCAAACAAAAGATATTGCGCTGATCTAGCTTCAGACAGATATCATACATATCATGTTGCTAGTTATGTATATATACATATACATATCATTATATATCATTATATATCCCATAGATATTCCCATCTGAGGGCTATTCCCATCATGTTGCAATGGCGACAGCTTCACCCCCTTCAGACCTGTAAACAGCTCCTTTCTGCGGAGCTGCCAGTTGCATGAGTTCTTCCGCCGACATCCGCCAGCCAGACATATCACCTGGAGAACTCCCGTGGCGATAACTCCGAGATTCTCATAGATCACTCGCGTTTGACACCCCAAACAATGCATTAAAATTACTTTACTTCGTGTGATCCCCACCATGACATTTATACATTTTCTTACTGGCAAATCTTCTGGCATTCTATCTGGCATACCTTCTGGCATTCTATCTGGCATATCTTCTGGCATTCTACCTGGCATATCTTCTGGCATTCAATCTGGCATTCTATCTGGCATATCTTCTGGCATATATTCTGACATATCTTCTGGCATTCTATCTGACATATCTTCTGGCATATATTCTGACATATCTTCTGGCATATCTTCTGGCATATCTGGCATTCTGGCATATCTTCTGGCATATCTTCTGGAATATCTTTCTGGCACATTCTTTCTAAAATTTCTTCTGCACATTCTTCTGTCCCATATCTTCCTACATGAGGTCCGGCAGGGAACACTTGGCGTGGATACTCGCGGTTGAGGTCCGGCAGGGAACACTGGGCGTGGATGGTCGTGGTTGAGGTCCGGCAGGGAACACTGGGCGTGGATGGTCGTGGTTGAGGTCCGGCAGGGAACACTGGGCGTGGATGGTCGTGGTTGAGGTCCGGCAGGGCACACTGACGTGGATGGTCGTGGTTGAGGTCCGGCAGGGCACACTGACATGGATCGCAGTGGAGCAGGAGGAGGACGAGGAGGACGAGGAGGACGAGGAGGACGACGAGGAGGAGGAGGAGGAGAGGAGGAGGAGAGGAGGAGAGGAGGAGGAGGAGGAGGACGAGGCAGGAGGAGGCAACTGACATAAAATCTAACAACCCTCACCTGGCAGGTGGGGAAAAAAGATGTAAGACATTAAGTTGGCATTGTCATTTCAAATACCAAAACTAGCTCGATGTTTCCAGTGCAATACTCACCAATACCACTGCACGTGTTGTACTATTTGTGTTTATACACGTCTGAGAGTGAGGACAAATTGATTGGTATCACTATCTGTTTGACTTGGCAAGATCATATAGATGAGATTGCAGTAGGATTCATGTGTGTCATAAGATTAGAGATAATATGCCTTTGTCATTGAATATGGACAAAATAACTTGCATATAATTGAAACAACATCACCAATCAATCAGCATCAAATAGATCAGACTTGGCAAATAGCAACAAGTAAAATTTCACGGAAGTGTGGCACAGAACAAATGGAAAAGGCACAATTCTAACATGGAATAATCAATTCCACAAACAATTAGATCAACGAGTCAACGAGCCAACAAACAATAATAACAATCAGCCTCATCTGGAGGGTTGCTGGATGGATATGTATATAAATATATATACATATAGAGAGAGATAGATAGATCATTATGCGTGCAATTGATTGCAATTGTATATGCTTCAGGCTTCAGACAAATGCAAGCAAAAACATCCGCGAAGCAAAAATAACAAACAAAGTGATAACAATGACACATTCCTGTAAAAACTTGGGGAGATTCAATGGATTGGTTTAAGGGACAATTTATAGGAAAACCCCCATATTTCATTGGAAAATCGATGGTTCCCGGTTTCAATTTTCCTTAAACCAATCCATTGAGAGATGGCTGATCGACCCACAAACCTAGCGTCAAAGATTCTTCCGGGCCCCACACTTCCCAACAAAATCTATCTGGAAACACCGTCTTTCGGTTTGTCTTTCGGAGCGCTATCATTTTCTTTGAAACTCAAGAAAACTTAAGAAACTGAAATGAGCGGTGTTCAAAACCCTCTGACGATTCCTGTATACTCCCATTCGCTTCGGAGAAAGGTTCCACACATCTTTCGCAGTGTGGGTTTTGGCTTCCGCGGGTGCATCTGTGTTGACTTTCTCTTCCGCGGAGCTTCCGCGAAGGTCTCGTTCATCACTTTGTTCCTTTTTACATATCCATTTGAACTGGGGCAGGAATATCGCACACGGTTGGTATAATATGGTATAATCATTGTGTATACACGGTGTGCCAACCTGGAGAGCAGCACTGCAGCTGATTATCACAGTGGTTTTATGAGATGGATATGAACAACGAAAACTCAAGCCCTACACCTGGTGGACCATGCCGTAAATCTGTGCCCCATGGTGGAACACAATCATTGTATATCATTGTATATCATATATGCTCTTCCGCGGGTCTTCCGCGAAGCGACTGGTAAACAAAGGTTCCGCGAGACCTTTCGCGGAGCTTCCGCGACTGCAGTGCCAGCTTCTGCGAAGGTATTGGAGTTGACGAGTTTAACTAAACTCTTCTTGGGGGATTTTGATCACTGCTCAAATGACTTCACGGATTCTTAAAAATATATTCTGCATATATGACTTTGGAGCTTCAATATGTAACCTCTGGTAAACTAACATAGCTATTGAAAATGGCCATTTATAGTGAGTTTTCCCATTAAACATGGTGATTTTCCATAGTTATGTTAGTTTACCAGAGGGTAACCACTATGAGCATATCTTATGAGCATATAAATATATTTCTCAAGCTCCATCAATGACGTTTCACCCGCAAGGTTGAGGGCTCGGGGATGCTCCGGGCGCACCTTTCTTGTCCAAAACCGCCTCCAGATGTACCTGATGGGTGGCGAGGGAAACAAATGGGCTGACAATACAGTTGTAGCCCGAAATACCAGTTATAAGTCGCTGAAATAACTACAAATAACTAACCTCATTTATGGATATTTATGAAATGATAACCCCATACATAAACCATTTATAGCTGGTAACTTGAACTGTACTGCAGAAGGTGAGATTCCAGGCCACGACTTTCCAAATTATTTGGGACCTCAAACGAGTTCCAGTTTCGGTACTTTTTCGGCCAGAACAAGGACGGATGCTCTTTAAAACTGATCACCCCAGCTGTTTTATTGGCAGTAAATGACGGTTGTTTTCTATGTCAGATGACTGATTGTTGGTGGGTTACAATCATTTTTCTCCATCTTTTCGTGTATGTTCTAGACCTGTTTTATCATGATGACTAGATAGTCGCGTACAAATCTAGTCATGATCCACTGGTGATATGACCCGCATGATCTACCCAAGTCTATTCAGAAACCTCCGAGCTCAAACAAGGAATGGTACTGGATAAACCCGGGAAAACCAGAAAGCACACATGCGACCCGTTTCGATAGGTTCTCCCATGATGGAAGGTGACTCAAGTTGCCTCGATCTCTTTTTCAAAACTTAACACATCTCTAGTTGAAAAAAATGTCAGTTTACCACTGGACCCAAAAAATATATGAACAACAAAAATACATATTGCCAGAACATCCTCCTCCATGGCATGAGAAGCTTCTTGTGTAAACATTTTGTTGGGTTCTGGTGCCAGCGCGAAGTGTTTGAAAAGGGGAATAGTTGCGATGTGGGCAAATTGCCATAAGCAAATTTGATTGAAGTCAGATTTCAGGCATGATTCCCCCTATCCCTTCAATTCCAACAGCACCACCCAAACAAATGCTCGATACCGGAAAGAAAATCAATGTATACCCAGAAACTATGTTTCCACATTAGTAGCTAAACACTAATATACATGATATATATATATGTACTTATATACTTGGATCCTCCAAATACCCCGGAAAATGGCAGCAATCCTCAAAGTACGGGGTAAAATACCATTTAAAGGGTACTTGGAGGGTCTAGGTGTGGGTATATGTGTATGTATATATATTATATATATATAATATACATATATATATATATGCGTATTTCATCCAGTTTCACCTCCACTTCACCAGTCGGTTTACCATATTGCCAGATTTTTTATCGTCCACGGTAGCTCTCCAAATCCATGGTGGATAAATCTCATGGGTGATTTGAAGGCATTTTTTTGTCGGGTCAAGCATATCATGTGTGCAGAATGTGTGGGTTTCTCTGAAAATAGGCTACCCTCTGGTAATTTAACATAGCTATTGAAAATGGCTATTTATAGTTGATTTACCCATTAAAAATGTTGATTTTCCATAGTTATGTTAGTTTACCAGAGGGTACCTCTGAATCCAGTGAGTGACCATCAGTTGTCCAATGAAATTCACAGTTCCAAACTGACACACCCAAATAGTGGCCGGTCATATATCCGATCTACATCCCCATCCATTCCTGTAAAATCCCCCCGGTTGATGGCTAACCAATGGTGAATCAATGCTTATCATTACCAACAGGTTAACCTTTGGGTATTTAGTATAGCTACGGACAAGTGCCCATTGATGGATGGTAAAGATGATGATTTACCTATTAAAACTACCGATTTTCCAATGCTATGTTAAATTACCAGAGGGTAACCATGGTTATTGGGTTTATATCTAACGATGGTTGTACATTGACGATCCACTGATTAGCCGCTGATTATCCACGGGTTTATAGATCAATTAAAATTATTTACATTGATTTACCTATTGAACATGGTGATTTTTCATAGCATTTTTTTTTCCAATACTATAGGATAATCATTGATTATCCATTGAATAACCCTTGATTAAGCTGTTGATTATGTTGAATGACCAATGAATAACCGCTGATTATCCATAGCTAATTCATTGATTAACCATACATTATCCATTGATTCACCATAAATGATCCATAGCTTATCCATTTATTAACAAAAGACCATTGATTCCCCATAGGTTAACCATAGGTATTGCGTAGATTATAGCTACTTAACCATAAGTTATCCATTGCTTCTCAGGTGGCTTCCATTAAACCCCTCCCTGCGTGGCTTCCCAGTCCAGCTACCTCAGGTCCAGCGCGTCGGCCCTTCAGCCGATGAAGACGCAGCTGCGGCCGCGCCTCACAGCGGTGACCTTCCCCTGACATCATGAATCCATGTGTATTTATATGTGTATGTGTACAATGATGTATTATTTATATGTATTTATCCATGTATTTATTTGTATTTATATCTATATGTGTATGTATAATTGTGTAATTCTATATGTATAATTGTATATGTAAATATTCAATATTGAAACATGAACCGCCCATCCCATCACACTGATTGATTACCCTCCGGTAAACTATGGGAAAGCTGTTGAAAATGTCCCATGGAAATACTTAATGTACCTATTCAAAGTGGTGATTTTCCAGAGCTATGTCAGTGTCAGTTTGAGGTTAATAGGTATCCCTAGTCTGGACTATAATGACTTCCAATAAAGAAAGTAGTATAGCCCTCTACCCTCTGGTAAACTAACATAACTATAGAAAATCACCATTTTTAATGGGAAAACTCACTATAAATGGTCATGTTCAATAGCTATGTTAGTTTACCAGAGGGTAACCCTCTAACTCATCAAGAGTCTAAAAGTGGTATTTTTAATGGCTCACATGTGCTTGGGCCAAGGCATGGCCCAAACGGTTTATCGATGGCCCGGCCCTCCTTTTTACGTGTTACCAGCTGGTTATGACATTCACAGTTCGCCATGGAAAGATCCACCATTTTTTAAATAAGAAGAAACAATCTATTTCTATGGGCCATTTTCCATGGCTATGTTAAATAACCAGAGGGTAGTATACAATCCAACTTTTGACCGCAGTTATTCTTGAACAGAGTTTCAACGTATTTATGATATTTAATATCATGAGTAATCACTTCCCAAGAAATGGAATTTAAATGGGAATTGTACTGGTATGGTTTGGGATTATTGGATTTATCAACTAATCAGGCAATTGTCCTGGCTGTGTTGATAGTAATCACTACCCAACTGATATTGGGATCATTACCCTCTGGTAATTTAACATAACTATGGAAAATCACTATTTTTAATCGGAAAACTCACTATAAATGGCCATTTTCAATAGCTATTTTGACATTACCAGAGGGTAATACCTTGGAACATCTGGCAATTAAGCAGCCCCAAAAGAATACTTCGATAATTGGAGGTTTCCTGGCAAGTTTCCTGGCAGGGGGTACCCGAAGTCATCCCAGTTATGGATGATCATTTTGGGATACCAATGGTACTATCATTTTTCCATGAAATGATCATCCCAGTTAATCATCATAACTAAAAATGATAGTACAATTGGTATCCCAAAATGGGATGATACTACAATTGCATGTCAGTTACATCATTTTAGTATTGAAGCCAATTGAATCCAATTGATAATTGGGGATGCCGAATTGAAGCCGAAACTCCCATTTTTAGCCACAATCCAACTCAGACCAAACTGTGAACTCATCTCTCCAAATGGTGATGTCCGACAGATGGACAGATGTCCATTTTGAGATTCCCAGAAAACCATCATTTACCAACTATCAATCCTGGTTCTTTTACTGAAATCCAGAGTCATGATGAGTATTGATGAGTCGTGTCTATCAGGTGGGAAAAAATAAAAAGCGCATCCGTTCCGTAGCACGCACCTTCTTGAGTGCATCTGTCAAAGCAGTTTCCAAGTCTTGTAAGTCCTGCCATGATCTCACTGGGATGAGCCACGTAAAAACAAACGGCCCTGAACGGCTACGTCTACGTGAACGGCTAATCATTAACTGATTATAAGTGAAAAACGCGTAGATTTTCTGAACCGATTGGTACCCACTTTTTTTCGACACAGAGTTATGTTTAAGTTGCTTCATACACCCTTTTTTGATACACTGCAGTCCTGATCGAAGATCAACTGTTCCCGCATGAACGGTATGCCAACATGTACCCCCAAATTCCTGATTCGTCCATTGTAAATCAAGTGTGAAGGACTCACAGCCATACCAGTAGCATGGAACATACCCTTCCCTCCAACAAGTAGCACATGCTCTTCCAATCAATCCAAGTATACTGTATCCATCTGTAATTCTGTAAGTATCCATCATCGTTCTTTCCAACTTCAATGGCACAAATCCAGTATACACCGTGTTTCACAAAGCCAATGTTTTATTGAAATGCATCCATTATCCAAAATGGGTTTACAGCATCGTTAATTCATGATCAACACACTTAAATGGTCCATGTCAAACTATTTACACCATCCCTCCAGACAATATGGACCCTGAGAGTGGCCAATTTTTTGAGGATTTGGAGGTCTTCCAACCCCCAACTCATGGTCGGCTCCATGTTCGTTTTAGAAAGCTTATACCCCCCCCCCCAAACTAGGAAAACAGGACTAAATTGTCCTTGGTAAAATCACAAAAGATCTCTGGGTGCCAATGGATGTTTTAATGGGAACATCATCTATGAATCGGCAATTTTCCATTGCGGCGTTGGATTAACAGAGGGTACAACCTGCTGTTTCTTGTGGTTCTTGTGGTTCTTGTGGGTACTGAAGGATTCACACTCCCATGATATAGATTGGGGGCTTGTGGCCACAACAAAACATGATTTTGATTTTTGATTACCAAAGGATAAATCATGATCAATCTTTAGTAGTTCCCCAAAAATTGTCATCTTTTGCTGGTTGGCTAGTCATTTTCCATTTAGAGCAAAAAGCTAAAGTTTGAGTTCAACTACCCATCCAAGGTCTATAAAATTCTATAAACCTCCATTTATAGTAATGATTTTCCCACCATATGTCCCACATATTTTCACATTGTCCCATGTTAAAAAAAACAATGGTAAAGTCCCATCTTTTTACCCCATATGATTTGGTATAAACTTCTATAAACCTCCATTTATAGGTGATTTTCCCACCATTTGTCCCACATATTTTCACACATGTTCACCTATTTTTCCAATATGTTCACATGTTCCCACCAGTCTTCCCATCTTTTTCACAAAAAATGGGAATGTCCCATCTTTTTACATATCTTCTCTTCACCTATTTTTGTCCATATATTTCCCATATGATTTGGGAGTGGATCCCCTTCCAATGACCCCAACGTTTAGAGCTTCCCCCATCCACCGCTCCGGCTGTGGCAGCTGCATGTCTAAGAGTTCCATCACAGCGCGACGGCCTGTGGTGCTTCACCCATGGAAAATCAATGGACAATCAATGGATAATCAATTACCATCTGGTAAACTAACATAGCTATGGAAAATGGCCCATTTATAGTGGATTTACCCATTAAAAACATAGCCTCTGGTTATTTAACATAGCCATAGAAAATGGCCCATAGAAATAGATGGTTTACCTGGGTTTACCTATTAAAAATGGTGATTTTCCATGGCTATGTTAAATAACCAGAGGGTAATGGAACCATGCTAACCATGGGTTTGATAATAGTGACCTAGTATTATCCATTACTAACAACCATTATTAATCATATCCATCAACTGATTATTATCAACCATCAACTGATTATCCATCACAGGTCACTATGGTTAATAGTAGGTTGTACTGCCCATAGGTTTGATGGATAATCAATTTTCATGGATAACCTATGGGTAACCATCTATGGTTAATCTACGCAATACCTATGATTAACGTATGGAGAATCAATCGTAATCCTGGAGAATCTATGATGAAAATTTTATGGTTTATCAATGGTTAGCATCTGGTAAACTCATTTTTCGGATGGGTAAATCAACTATTTCTATGGCCATGGCTTCAATAGCTATGGTTCTAGTGGGATAAGTCGGGTGGATGAAACCAGTGGACTAACTGGGGGTGAACTCATCTACGATCCGTGACCCATTTTTTGGGGGTATTCGGAGGGTCCAGCTATAGATGTGGATAAAAGTATTTACCAGATTATATGCCATGTGGGGACAAGTACCCCTACTAACCACATACAGTTTCAAGGATTTTCCCTTTGAAAATAAGCTGAGTTTCTCAGTAATGAATTCAGCTCAATGGCTCATCAAAGCAAGGAGATTCGGATAACATTGATAATTCAAATCTGAACTAAACAACACACAAACCTAGACCCACCAAATACTACCAAAAATTGCTTCAAGTACTAGTTCATTTTGGGATCAAAACACAATTTTTAAGGGTAGCAGGATCTAGGGATGTGTATTAAAATGGAGATCTTCACCTTAACCAACTAAAAACAGCTGCGGTGTTTCCTTGCATTTGATGTTGGCGCAGCTGGCAGAATCGGATGTCAGAAACTCACATGATTCGTTCCATACGAGTACTAAAAGTGTTGGATATGGCGATCCGTTTTCGTATTGTCTGCGTCTTAAACCTCACATATCACATATCTCACCTATATAGATCTTTTTTGGCGGACCCACCTCGTTTTGAACCTAGTTCTGCGATTGCATAGAGGCAACAGGTATGTCCACTCAAAAATATTGTGCATGTATGACACAAGCTGTTGCTTATTGACTCATATAGTGATTAACAAAAGGCCTGGGTCCTTGCTTGCAGCTATGGTAGATCCCAGCTGCAATCATCATAAAAAAAACGTATAATTAAGCAAAATCTAAACATGGGATGTGGGCTGTCACTGTACACAATGACATCCGCTACAGTTAAAGCTCAATCCCTGATAAATCACCATCATTATTCGATGCGTCAAGAATACCTTAGCTGATTTGTCCAGTAAACTTTGTGTCCAAAACACACCACACTGACTTAGTGGTTCGCTGTTCTTTTCGTTATGTATATTCTACACAGCGCAAGAAAACGCCAACTGCACAACTCCGAAATTCGGTGTGTTGAAAATCGTCCTCATGATCCACACGAAGCGATAAATCACCAGCTCACGTCGCTGAAGAGGTTGAAGATGTTGAAGGGTCAATCTTCACCGAAAACCATGGGTTAGTTTTCCATGGTTTTTTCATGGGTTTTTCCTCATGAAATATGGGTTTTAATCATCAAAACCCGGGTTTTCCATGGGGTTTTCCTAAAAAAAATCAATGGAAAAAACCACTTGATGTCCTCCATGGGCCATGGCTCCATGGGCATGGCCTATGCCCCATGAGATCCGCAGGATGATGGAAGACAGGAAGGCGCCGGCCACGGGATCAAAGGCGCTGTGAACGAAGACTCGACCTGATTGAAAAGGAACGAGTTGGTGGCGACTTGGTGAAGCTGGACATACCATCTGGCTATTTGACATAGCCATGGAAAATGGCCCATAGATGGTTTACCTATTAAAAATGGTGATTTTCCACGGCTATGTTAAATAACCAGAGGGTAGATGAACCCAAAAAAAATGAATGGGGTTTAGATGTACTCAAATGAGAGGGGTTTTCTACTATGTTAATATACTTAATACTTTATGGGGTGACATAACTAGATGAACTAGATGAACTAGATGAACTAGATCATATAATAGTTACAGTTATATCAGTTATATCCAGTGTACCTATTTACTACAATAGTAGTGGTTTGTATCTCTATACCTATAGATTACCCTGGGGTAATCAAATGTGACAATGGGACATCCGTTTTATTGGGATCTGTAATTGGAAGATTTTCAAAATTCTATTACTGGTGGACATAACTAGATTGGCTACCTAGACCCTCCAACTACCACAAAAAAATGTAAACGTACTCAAATATATCAAATTAGGGGTTCATCACACGCGAGCATTCTTCATGTTTAAGGGTGCCTAGACGCAGGGTCTAGGTAGATTAGCTAGGGCCAGGGTTTATATGGTAGAAAGATCGACCTTTCCGAAGTAAACCAACAAGCAGAACTGGGGGCCACCATTGCGGGAAGATGCCTTCGCAGCCTGTCGGCCTGTTCCTCCATTTCTCCTCATTCCGCTGGTTCATCATCGTTTTACCCCTCAGAGGCTATTAAATCGGTTAAATCCACCATTTTCAGACAAACTCAAATTGACATATGTGTCATCACCAAATTCCCAACAATTCCTGGCTAAGCTTCAACCCCTTAGAAGATCCCCATATCAACAAATAGTCAACGCCATGGCTGTTGTTAATTTCATGCTCAGTATCAACATTCTGATATGTAAAAAATATATATAATTATATGTAAAAAATTAGATGTGCAAAAACACCTTGTGTGTATATATATATCACATGTACATATAAGATCATATAAAACATATAATCGATATCTAAATATATTCCAAAATCAATATAAATACTGAATATATAATTATATATATGTATAAACCATATAAACCATATAAATATATATATATATAAACATGTATCCATAGAATTGGATGATGGGAAAATTTACAGGAAAGCCCTATATTTGATGGTAAAAAACATGGTTTCCGGTTAAGATTTTCCCTTAAACCAATCCATTGATGTATGTAGGATCCATGTATGCTATATATGGTAACATTTACCATCAGTATACCCCCAATGTTAGTATATATATATATACCATACATGGATCCTATGGGTTACTGTATATTATTTGATATTATGGGATTTCCACAGCCTCTGCTACACACAATGTGCCTCTATTTCAAAATCAATATAAATACTGTATATATAATTATATATATATATATGTATGTAGAATAGTGTATCTATACCACTATCAACTCATAACATCTCAACATCTCAACATCTCCAGCGCCCAGGCACACAAGACACCCAGCAAGACGAAACCCGAACTCATGGCATCGGAGCGATGATGCCAAGCCTATAGGAACGCTTGGAGAATGGCGAAAATCTGCGTTTTTTTTTGATAGAAAAAGATGTGGAAAACTCTTTGAAAACCCCTGGTTTTGTTAGGAAAATGATCTATAAATGGATATATAAATGGAAAGTTTAGGCTCTTCACATTCCACATCGATCTTCCTTTGTGTTAGCGCCGCCTTTTTGAAGACGCGAATTTCTACAACACACTTTTAACTGTCTTCTTGGGGATGGGATGGGGTGGAGTGGGGTGGGATGTTATAGGGTTATATCCATAATTATATACATAATTATATACATAATTATATACATAATTATATACATAATTATATATATACATATCTATCTATCTATCTATCTATCTATCTATCTATATATATATATATAAATAGAATGTTCAGGTCTGTGTGCACAAAAAAACTTGACGCTACAGAAAAAAAGGCCACCAAGTCCAAGTTGGACATGTGGTTTCCAGTCCTTGTGGTCGACCAGCTGGCAGTGAAACTCTGAGCCAACAAGCCCCCGTTTCACTGGGTACGCAGCGCTAGCTACAAATCTTCGTTTATGGGAGGACTCCCCAGTTGCAACTGTGAGCGTGGCCGGATATGGCGCATGTAGTGCAACTTCGCAAGGGTCTTCTAGAAAAAACATGTATATGGATACAATGTGCTCGGTTGCAGAGTGGCCAAACATATGCCCCCATTGATGTTGCTTGAGGACGACTGAGGTGAGATCAACTGTTCAATCGCGCCAAAAGTTGCAGAGTTTTACTATATTGATCTGTATGGTAAGTGGATCCAATTTCTTCAGGCGTTTTATCCACATCATTCTAGATTTGTCGCACCCTCACCCTGCATATCAAATCTGGAAATAGAGGAAAGCGATTGATTAGGGAGCTAGAAATGTACCCCCATCTTTTGAGCAACTGGGGGGAAATCATTGCATAATTTCAGAAAACATGTTTCCAAACTACCTGACATAGTTGACAACATAGCTTGAGAATGTCAACCGTGGATTTTGCTAAGACCCCTGGGCTATCACTGGGGTACCAGGTACCATTTAGTAGATGTTAGTTGCGAATTATCATTTTCGGGGCAAACCTTAACTGATCAAGCGCGGCAAACATTACTCCCGGGATGTTTAAAAAAACAACAATCTACATGCAGAAAATGACTGAACATGATACGATCACCATTAGTAATCAATCTGGTTGGTGGTTGACCTACCCCTCTGAAAAATATGAAAGTCAGTTGGGATGATTAATTATTCCCAATATATGGAACAATAAAATTCATGTTCCAAACCACCAACCAGCCATTAGTAATCATTAGTATCCATTAGTCCTGTTCACCACTTGCCGCAAGCTGGAATTCAGGTTGATCCAGAATGGTTGGTCAGTTGGCAAAAAAAAAACAAACACCTGAAAAGCGTAGCCGCTGCTGTTAAGGTGCGAAGCTGGGTTGATGATTAGTAATGACTTTAATTTGGGTGTGCTAGATTTCAAAGATTTTCATGGGGTGTGATCAGCATCAATCCCAACTTCGATCATCGAAGCGTCAATCCCAACGATTTTCAACAACCAAGCCCAGAGATCGACCGAACCTGAACATGAGAAGGAACACAAAACGAAGATCATCATGCCAGCACATGTTAGTTTCATGTTTCTTTTCTGGCTATGTTTGCCTACAGTGGGTTGTTTGCTGGGAGGTTGCTAACACGACCTCATTGAAAACCAACATTGTAACATGGCCAGACCGCAAAGCAACAATGCAAATCGAAACAAAAAGAACAAACTGGGCATGGCCAAAGAAAAATGGAACATATATGAATCATATGAACAAAGGTAAACCAAGTGACCACAAGTGTTGTCACAACAAGAAGCAAACCATTTGGGATATTCTTAGATATTCTACAACCCTTAGACATGTCTTCATTTTTCCTACTCAAATGTGCGCCAAATCTTCATCCGCGTCTCGTTTTATTTCTTAATAGGTAGTTTCAGCTCTAAAGCGAGGTTGCTAAAAACCAAGCCGATATGTGCTATTTGCATGTACATGTTGTAACTATATATCATACATTATATAACATTATATACATTATATGAATGTTAACATTTGGACAAATATATTATACCGTATCATGTAATAATAGACTAATAGACTATAGTTCCTATTATTTCAATATATGATATCATGACATGTCATATGATAAGACACTGTATTAATGTTATACTATGGTTTTGCGTTTCTTAATTCTTAATTATGTGCTATATATAACGAATAACAGTATCTAGAATACTTTATATTGTATGATACTGTACGTGACATACTTATGCTCGTATATGTATATGTATATATATATGTATATACATGCACATGGTTGAATATATACGATATACACATAACTATGGAAAGACATGAAAACACAACACCAGAATTACCACACGCACACATGACCACATTGCGCAATGGTGCTATTGGCGGCTTGACCACAAAGTATCTTGCTAAATTACAATGATAAACCAAGCGTAACGAAGTTTGGTAGATTCTCCTTACTCACAATCATCTCCTGTGGCATTTTGACAAACCTTGGGGACGAAAAAAGATCTGCTTCCCAATTCTCGACTTAAATACTGACAAAACATGGTGCTCCCAAAATCTATGGACACCATGACATATAAAAAACAGTTAAAGTCCGGGACGCATTCGCCAGGAGCACTGAGGAATTCAACCTCTCCGCTGCCCGGCGCGTGATTCTGTATAGGCCCTCCTTGCCTGAGGCCGATAACGTCTAGTTGGTTTAGCTCACTTGGTTAACTAGGCTGTATGATGTTTATGGGGATACATGGGAAACAATAAACTACAGCATATACATATATATATAGTTAGTTATGGATACTTACGGGGGATATAAACCATCTGGTAGCTGGTGGGGGTCCAACCTGCAAGTAATGTGAACCCTTGATAAACATAGTTTAGAATCACCCACCAGTAATATGTGATTATATATGGAGGTTTCCTAAATTGGGGGTACCTCTGTTCATCATCCATTTTAGATTGGGACTTTCCATGAAATAAACCATCCAGCGAGCTTGGGGTACCTCCATGACTATGGAAATCCCCATATTGTAATGATCCTTTAGGAGTTCCAGCAATTTATCATCGGTGACCAACTCTAGCACGACTCAGCACCACACTTGGACATCTTGGACTCCGTGTTCGACTCGGTTCCGGAGTTTTGTTTCATCTTTCTTCATCAGCCAAACAGTTGAAAACAAAACTAAAATGAGGTCGTGGAACATGACCCTCCAGTAATTCAAGATTTTTTTGGACAATCTGAGTTATTCACAGCTACATGGTCAATCTTTGCCCACCAAACAAAACCTGCTGGTGATGTTTCCATGTTTCCATTTACCCTCTGGTAAACATACAAAAAACTATTGAAAATGGCCTCTTATAGTGGATGTACCCATTAAAAATGGTGAATATCCATAGCTATGTTAGTTTACCAGAGTTTAAGCAAACATCACGCGGAATCGACTAGCCATCCAGTCGGTTGGGGCCCTGGGGATGGCTTTCCATCTACCTCTCCCTCCGCTAAATCCGCGGAAAATGTCGTGGTACTGGCAATGGTCAGCAAACATGCACCCACTGCAACGGCATTCACATGCCCGTCCTCCAGCGCGGACCCCCATGGAGAAATGTGCAATCGCAAATACCATCTAGTTTAACTAAAGTTCTCTGCCAGTTAAATAGGGTTTAAGCACTATATATAGATGCTGTATATATATATATGGATATGCATATAGACATGTGCACATGTGTGCAATATATAGACATACAAACTAATATACATGTCCATATCAAGGCCACACATGGGTTGATCCTGCTTGGATTGTGAAGGTAACGATTGAACAGTTTGAATCATATCTGTGTTGTATTCTATCTGGGTGTCTCTGAAAATGGGGTATACTATATATATATATACTACTATACCTCCCAAAATTACCATGTTATCTCATTTTATCATATCATAATTATCACATTTTTCAAGCTGAACTACCGGCCCTCTTGCCCCGACCTCAAAGATATTTTCAGCGCCATGGCTGTGAAGGTGGCTATGGCTATGACCGCCATGGCTGCCATGACCGCCATGGCTATGCCCGTTGTCCTGCAGCATGTTTGATGTATAGCCAACAGAATGTGTAGATAATGGAATAACATGGAATATCATGGACTATAGCGAATTAAATAAAAATATTATACACAATAGATATATTTCAAAAATATAATATAATATAATATAATATAAAATAAAATAATATATGTATATATACGGCAAATGCCTGGGCCTTGCCCGGAACCGCAATGAAGACAGACGACGCATCATCATCATCATCATCATCAAACCCTTATTGAAGATCTTCAGTGAATGTAGAAGTTTAACGGGGGTTGGAGAATGAAACCCTTACCGAAGATCTTCAATGAATTAAAGTTTAACGGTGGGGGAACTTTAATATTCCCTAATACCTTTGTTGATCTTCGCAATTGAATGTAAAGTTCAACGTGGGTGGGGGGTTTAATATTCCCTAGTACCTTTGTTGACCTTCCCAATTGAATGTAAAGTTTAACGGGGGTGGGAGTTTAATATTCTCTAGTACCTTTGTTGATCTTCCCAATTGAATGTAAAGTTTAACGGGGGTGGGAGTTTAATATTCCCTAGTACCTTTGTTGATCTTCCCAATTGAATGTAAAGTTTAACGGGGGTGGGAGTTTAGTATTCCCTAGTACCTTTGTTGTTTATCCCATAGGAATTTTGTGAAGTTGCATCAACATTTCTTTGGGAATGGGAAACCTCTACTTGCGCAACGCCTGGGCTTTTTGCCCAGGCGTTGCGCATATAGATATATATATATATCTACATGTATATATATATATATATATCCACCATGGGTAACATACGAAAACATGTTGATATTTAGGGTTTATCATCCCATCCCAAAAGGCCCCGGCGCCTTTTAACACCTCTGGGAATCTGGGAATATCGCTCCATTGTTGAAGCACATTACCACCGTATATATACTGTATATATATATATAAAGAGATGAAGGAAGGGAAACACCCTTGGGGTTTATTACATATATAGACTATAGACTACAAACCATAACATACATGGCTATTCATGACAATTTCAGTTCAGTATGCATTATGTTTATTTTAGGCCATCTGCCGATGGTTTGCCCACACAAAAATCAGTTGGTCCAACTTAGCTATCGTTTGGGGGCCTCGCCTTGAAGATTCCCATGTTAGTGGAAAGTTGAAATGTCCCTATGCTAAATCAACAAATTACTGAGTTTGACTATAACATATATATATAATATATATATGTGAATAGTCATTTTGTTAAGTATCGATGTTCTATCTACTACAGGATGCCGAAAAATATGTGGTCACAATTGAGCAGGTAACGGATTTCCCAGGGATGGATTGTGATCCAAAAAACGAATCTTAGATAGATTAGCCCCATAGAATTATCAACCAACCGGGGGTATACTATCTGAATATCATTGAATTATATATATATGTATGTATATATATATATATTGGATAGATTTAGATAGTATACCACCATATTTAATCCATCAAGTGCATCATGAAAAATCTCAGGATTTCTCCCATGGAATTCTCTCCGTCCTCGCCGTTCTCGTTTCCGAACGCCTCAGCACCCAAGGCTTCCAGCAACAAGCTGCCGGACATTTGCATCGTCGAGATCCCGGTGGTAACCATGATGCCACTGACACCTGCGTCCGCTACCGGTGGTGCCCTCCCGCAAGGTTTGTTGGTTTATAAATCATAGTGACTATAGTAAATGATACCGGTAAATTAACAGTTCGACCCTGAAAATAACAATTTTTTGAGTGGAAACTTTTTTTTGAACCAATCCCTATGACTGTCAGGGTCGTCATGTTAATTTACAGGAGGATATATCTACCATAAACCCTGGGGCGCCACTGTGTGGAGAATGGGAATGGGCGTTTTAACACCAAGGACCGTCAGATGTTGATTATAAAAGGGATAGTCATATATGATGTTGTATATAACATGTGATATGTGTATATATATATATATCAGTTCTATGTTATATATATATGTTTGTATGTTTTATCGTTATATGTATATGTTAGAAGATTTAGATATGTTATATGTTGTTGAAACCATAATGTAATGATATATCGGATATCAAGGGTCTACTTAGACTTAGACCCTACGTTTGCACCCTGACAAATTGTGTTTTAGCCCAGAATGAGCTAGTACTTTTACAATCGTTTTGGCTTATTTGGAAAGTCTAGGTATAGATATAATGTATATATATATACTAACAATACTAAATCTAGCATGTAATAGATACTCTGGATATAACTATATTGTTGTACTTTTTTTTTTGATATGTAACAAATAGACACTAAAATCCACTAATTACTATACATCGCAGCATGTGAAATACAGAAATTTGCAATAAGGAAACTATGACCATGGCAATGATGATACTGCATGTAAATATATATATATATAAATATATATAATATATTATATCAATTATTAATCTATATTGTAGCCCACTACAAGTGATCTTCCCAGAATGTTGAGGTATTGTAATGATGTTGGTCCATGTGTTGAAACAGTCTGACATCGTACCTTAAGATATCTTATATAAGTATGTTTTGACATCTTCTCGGATGTATAATCTGGCTTTCTGCTTTTGATTTTCTGTAAAATCATCTGATCACCTGACATGAATTTTGACACGCTGTATCTGACAGATCAAACTGCTTCATTCTAGCAAATATTTCGACAGCCACTCAGAACCAAGTACGGATCTCTTGTTGTGTAAATTCCATGTTGGAAAGCCCCCCCCATCTTTGTTTCGCAACGTCAAATTTCCCAAGATGTGAAGCGGCTACGGATTTTGTGTATGCTCAAAGCAAAGGTGTCAATTTTATTCAACTTTCCACTTGTGATGTGTTTAAGACATTCACAAAGATGAAAACAAACAAATATATTAAATGTATATACATCAATATATATACATATATACATATATACATACATACATAGAATAATACATAAAACAATTCACCACAATAAGGCCTCTCCCGCTGGTTTGCTCTATTTCGAATGCGCCTAGCGCGGCAAAGGAGTCCAGTTTCCCGCGCCCAAAGGGAAAGTTGGGCCCTGGTGGTCGCAGGGTCAGCTGTACCACACCTGGACGAAATTCCATGGGGACCTCATGGGGAGATAGTATCATTTTTTTTTGGCGGCCTGGAATATGTGTATATATGTCATATTCATGTATATTATATATAAAAGGTGTATATATATATAAATGAAGTGTATAGCTATAACTTTATCACATCAACATGGGGACCAACACCTCATCTTGTTTTCAATGCAGGACGTGTCGGTCGCCTAATCCTAAGCCGGATGGTACCCGGATGGTTAATAGATGGTTAATAGATGGTTAATCCCCCAGTCATATCCCATAGGATCCATGTATGCTATATATGGTAACATTTATCATATTTTACCATCAATATACCCCAAATGTTAGTATATATACCATACATGGATCCTATGGGTATGGCAATAATACGGGCAGAACTCAGGGGGTTTGCCGGGGATGGATTGATTCACGTTTTTTCAGGAGGACCTTGATTTCATTGCGCAGGCACAATGCTTTATTCGATTTATCACCTTGGTACATCTGTGCATTTGTATGTCCCAAGACCATTTTTTAAGGAAAACCAGTTGGTAAACCCTCTACGGCCTACGGCCTGTGTGTCCCAATTTTTCGTCCGTTGAAGGAAAAACCATGGCAAAACCCAGTCCTGTGGGTAAACAAAAAGGTTTTGACCCATCTCCATCTGTGTTTCTGACGGATCTTTTGCCACCGAGTTCTCATGATGAATATTGTGAAATGGCAGCTTTAAAATGTGTCCCATTCTGTCAGGTCTGGGGTGCCAATAAAGACCCCAGCACCACAGAGTATATACTTGGGAGAAATTCAATGAAGTGAGTGGGTTGAAAACTAGTTCTGAGCAAGCAGGATGTCCTACCTGCAGATTTGGATTTGTCTGCGAATCGGGGATACCCCAAAATGTTTGCTACCAAAAAGGATGATAAAGGCATCCACCCACTACATGTAATTACCCAATTTCATCTTATGTTCACCTTCACTTTCCATGGATCATCACAGATCATGTCATACTATTCCTGTCATAATATGATATGTTATACTGAATATTTAGCATTTTTGGGCAACATACTCCCTAGCCCGAATATCTTGTTGTCACAATACCATACTACATCATACAGGCTTTGGTAAATGTCCCATGGCTTGGGGATTTGCTTCACATCACTCAAACAAGTACTTGTTGGAAATTGTATGATACTATATCCCCAATATTTGGGTGATATGAAAAACTACTGTGGACGGGCCAGCGAAATCCGAATCAGTTGAAAACGGTGCTAAGTAAACATTCCACATCATCCCACTGTTTTTCTCGGCTTTCAACCATCCAAAATTGGTGGTTTATCGAATTTCGCTGGCCGGCCCATCCACAGTAGGACATCTACCAACCCCTCCGCTGGATCCGCTGGATCCGATCCGGATCCGAGCGGCCAAGGGTGATCAGATCGGCGAAGGAGTCCTGCGATTTTTCAAAAAGGCTGGTGATGCAAAAGCCCACCAAAAACGGTACCATATCAATCATATTGTACCATATTATTGGGCTCTATATGGGCTCTATTTATATATATATATCATATAAAGCATATGTGTACAACATATATAAGATATAGTGGAATATTACTATATATTACTTGTAGATCCAAGTTAGAGAGCGCTGTAACACAGTGATCGTAGCAAACCCATTGGACAACTAGGAAGGATTTAAAAACTCATCTACAGTTGGATGAGGTTATAAACCAACTTACAACCGGAGAGCTGCCTCCTTATTGTTGTCACATCTCTGAAACCTCCCAAATTTGTAAATCGGCATTAATCTCCTGCAATTCCACGAAAAAAACTGGGTGATAAACCTTTTTGACATTTTTTTGAACTACATTAGCCATTTACCATCCGCTAATTTAAAGATGGCTAGCTGGGAACCCCCCAACTAAATTGACATTTGACTGGAAAAAAACCATACAACGATCTATTGCTGGGATCAGCAAGCCATCCCCATTTCTCTTCGGGAAATTCCTAGTCATCACCTCTCAAAGCCCATCCAAAATCCCACTCAAATCCCCTCCAGCGAATCCCATATGGCCCATATGCAAAACTTAGGCTTACTTAATTGCCATATAGGTAATATTATCATTAGGCAATATATTCAACATACTATAGATATTCTGGCAATATTAATATATATATATATAGTAATATGAAATAGATGCATGGGTAATTAATTACCATCACATCCCGTCGCAAAACCCGTTGCGAGCCACCGTGAGGGTGTGCCAGGCGTCGCTGGTTAGGGCCGCAGAGTGGCAATAGCTTCCACTGGCCAACCTTGATTAATAATGCTTAATAGTGGTTAATAGTGGTTAATGGTGGTTAACAATTGGTGGTTAATAATGGTTAATAGTGATTAATAGTGGCTAATGGTGGTTCATAGTGACTAATAGTGATGAAAATAATGGCTAATAATGTTTCATGATGGGGTTTCCATACATGGGTTACCACCTTTGTTCAATGGCCATTTCAGGAACCGATTTATTGGAGGTACCTTCCATATATTTTTGGCCTATTCTTCAGGCCTAAATGATATCTCCCGAAAATATGGCCAAAAATATGGGACAGTACCTCCATTTTAGGATCCTGGAATTCCCATTGATTTGTTAAAGAGGTACCCGCTGGTAAACGAAGAGAAAACTATGGAAAATCACCATGCGTTTTTAATGGGTAAAGCAACTATAAATCAACTAGGCCACGCTTTTTCTTCGGAGGATCCCAAGATCCTCAAACAACAACAAAGAGATATCTGTTGTTTGTGTGTATCTTAGATATACCGTCCAACACCCATAGGCCCATAGGATCCATGGTGCTGCTATATATATGGTGCGCCATGGATCCCATATTTTACCATCAATATACCCCAGTCATGTTAGCATATATACCAGCACCATGGATCCGTCATGGGATATGATAGATTTTTTGTTTTGAGATCCGTCGGGATCTTTTGAAACAACGTCGCGAATCCAATGTGTTGAAAAAATACAATTTTTTAGCCCTGGAAGTCATAGATCGGTATATCTTAGATATACTTGTTTGTAGCTATATCAAAGATGGCTATATCATATTGATATATGGTATATCAAAGTTGGCTATTGTATATGGATCTTACAGTAGATAATTATACTATATACTATAGCCCTGGATGTCCAATGTTGATCTTGACCTACGCATTAATGTCGAAGTTTACCTACGCATTTGTGTAATATTGATGTTTACTCTTCAATGTCGATGTTTACGCTTGAGACATGTGGTGCAGCAAATTTCTCAAACTTTTGTACTGCTGCCGGATCTTTATCTTGGACATGCTTCAGCCAAACTCATGCGATATCACTTTGAATCACATGTGACACAGATTTTTCCAAAGTTCAAATAATTTTGTCTTGTTTTCACTCAACGGTACATTTGCATGTTTGCATGAGAGCGGGTGTTTTGCACTAGATACCCTCTGATAAACTAACATAACTATGGAAAATCACCATGTTTAATGGAAAAACTCACTATAAATGGCCATTTTCAATAGCTATGTTTGTTTACCAGAGGGTACCCCCAAACTCAATCTTGGAAACAAAAACTGGCCGCCATGGGAGAGGTGTTTTAACAAAGGCCAAGGAATAAATGGATGCGGTTGGCATGATTGGCATCCGGATGATCAGGTGGCCAGACTGAGTTCCCGATTTCTTGGGGCATTAATGAACATATCAATCTGTAACATGAGCTGCTGGGAGTGGCAAATTTCCAAAACCGTTTATATAAAGTCCCATCGTTTTGTCCGTAAACTCTGACAGACAAATTACACATATACTCGCAAATATGATTCCTTGATTTGTTTTCAGTCCGGAAATTCAATACTTGTAGGATCTTGTAGGTTTCAAATGCAGTTCCAAGACCCCTACACGTTGGGAAATTGGAATGATTGATGAAGTGCAAGGTCCATTGATTTCTTCCCAGGGGTTACACATCAACATCGAGAATGTCGAGGTTGAAGCAGCACAAACATCAACATTGTCCGCGTAGAAGGTAAACTTCGACATTGACGCCCAGGGTAGAGCATAGATTTAACATGATCTAACTATACTTCCTGTAGAATCCTGTAAATACTGTGGATGGGAGAAATCCTGTGCCACCAAAAAGATGGTTGAAACCGTCTAAATAGTGGGATGTTTACCACCTATCAACTGGTGCAGGATTTCTTCCATCCACCGTATGTTTAGGTATTGATCGCCATTTTCCTCCATTTTTGGGGAGCATCGCAACCCAAAAATGCGTCATGAGTTGTATATAGTCATTCACCATCGGGTCATGACATGGCTTGACTAGTCACGCTTGTGGCGCAAGTGGGCAATGAAACATGCCAAAATTTGATTGCAGTTCATCAGTGGTTTATAACTGGGTAATTATACCGTATATGTATCGGGGTTGGTATTTGGGGATGACTGTTGGGTCATGCTTTTGTAGCTGTAAAGTGGTGCTGCCCAGCCCCAAACACTACATTATCCATACGCAGGATGTATATGTATATATACCAATATACCAATTGGGTGTAAAAAAGGGTTAGACTATGGTTGTTACGAAGCACCAAGTCGTCGCAAACCGTGGTTTTCGTCCCTGTAAATCATCGAACCAAATGGGCCATGGTTTCCACTTCGCTATGGCTATCTTAGTTTACCGTAGGGTACCCTCTGGTAACTTAACATAGCTATGGAAAATTGCCATTTATAGTGGATTTACCCATTAAAAATGGTGGTTTTCCATAGTTATCTTAGTTTACCAAAGGGTAAGTGATGGTAAAGAGGGGCACATGGTACCTGATCCATCCCAATTGCTAATATTTATGGATGATTTACCTCTTAAAAATTGCTGTTTTCCACAATATGTAAAAATAAGTTACCAAGAGGAATTCATAGGGGCTTCTCCAAAAACAGGATACATCACGGTACTTTGGAAGGAACTCGCTATGTTGGAGGGTAAAGGCAACGGTTTCCAATAGTTTTTCTTTGCTCTCAACGAAGCAGTTCATGTTGCGACGACCCTGATGAGTTGTGTTGCAGAAAAAAACCAGAAGTATCCGCACAATTTCTTCTAAGTGGTCAGGAAGTGGGACTTCCTAAACCCAAACATTACCCTCTGGTAAACTAACATAACTATGGAAAATCACCATGTTTAATGGGAAAACTCACTGTAAATTGCCATTTTCAATAGCTATGTTAGTTTACCAGAGGGTACTGGGATGATCATCTCTTCACATTGGATGGATATTTTGACCTCATCAACCCTTGTTGTTGACAGCCTTTCACATCTTTCCCAAGGTCAGAAAAGTTGGGATGCCAACTTCACAACGTGGATGAAATTGGATAAATCATGTATGAAATATGGAAAACGGAAAAGCGTGATTAAACTAGACACACATTGGAAAACAATGATAGATGATAGATACTTGGTGCCTCATCCCTCTTACTAAGTAGGTTAGTTCACCCTCAGTCAGTTATAAGTGGATATCCACCCGACTTATCCAGGTATATGACCTACTTACTAAGTGGGATGATCCACCAAGTAATGATAGATCATAAACCTTTGGACCACTGAAATTTTCCTCCTCTTGGCCAGAATTGCCCAGAAACTGCAGGCCCCCCAGAAAGAGGTTGCAGCCCAATCCCAGCAATGCCACACGCATGGCTTCCTCACATGCAAAGTCACTGCCAGGGCCCCCAACGATAGCTAACTTGGTAGACATAATTGGCGAAACACATGGTTTATGGTAAATAATATTTTGGAATTGATGGGGTTTATAAACCAGCACACATCTCATGTAGACATCACTAGATGAATTCTCACATTCATGGTAGATATATATCGAAATTATATCGTCAATGTGGTTTCAAAACCAAACAACCATAACTGGGGTGCAGCACCTTGTCCCAACCAAGGTTCTTGTACTGAATCTGGTAGCAAAAAATTGGCAAAATGCAGGAGGTAGCTACCCCTTTCAGCCCTTGAGGGTCGCGGTATGTCAACCGCACATGGAAAAACTTGCACAAACACGTGGATTCAAAGTAAACTGACCCCACACGGGGAGGCCGATAAGATGGTTACCATGGTTATCTGTTCAAGCTGACCCCTCAGCAAACATAAATAAGATCTATGATGTAGGTGTCTGGAAAACAATATCAGCAGTACAATATGACTACTCTTTAATGAAAACTGATGTTTATTTGAAACAACCAAATTTGTTGGTTGTCTATTCTGAGGATTGGCAACATCCGCACACAACACACCGGTGTGCAGCAAGCTTCAGAACCCCTGTTTTTTCCGCTTCTTTGGAGTTTTCTAGCGCAGGTGTTGCCATTGCAAAAGCACCGATCGCAAGGAAATTCCATGACGGTTCTTCCTGATCAGCAAACATGTTGACTAAGCAGGTTCACGATCTTGTACCTCGTAGGCAGAAAAACAATGCTTATCCATCACAGACAATTTCCAAAACACTTGAATAGTTAGACTGGAAAATCGATAGCACAACATCACTGAAGTTCTAGATAGGATTGTCTGGTGGATTGCAAAAGCTGGGGGGTTGATCTGCGAGTAGATCAACTGGATTCATCAAAGATCATCAAAATGGCAATGCTGTGCTTCGCATCAGCTCAGAGCCCAGGCGGCTTAAGAGAACCTGTCCTTTAGCCACACTCATTTCCAATCTGGGCATGCTATAGAGGGATGAGATTAACACCCTCAAAGCCACATGCTTCGTGCCTCGATTGGAGATCTCTGTCCTGTCGATGCACTTGGTACTCCACTGGCCATCAAAGTGGGATAGCAACTGGATGAAGTGCTTGCAGTTGCAGTGGATGCCCAAGGTTCACCACGGTCAGGAGCCACTGCCAGATGTAGCATCTGCACTTCAAGCATCATCCTCCCCAACATCTCCTCCACCTGATGAAGTTGCTTCACCATGGAATGTAAATTCGTGTTTTGCGGAGTCTGGGGTGCTACCACCAATGACACCGATGCCCTCTGCGCTCGCGGCAACGACCTGAGTTCATGCTGCCCATGGGCAAAATGGCAGGCTTGGCCTCTTCGGCAATGCCCTGACGCAAAGTCATAGCAGAGACCTGTGGCTTGAAGTACTGGCTGTTCACGCAGCTCACTTTCGGAGTGCGCAAAGGGGCAAGACATGCCATTGAAGCACTTGCGTGAGTCCCAATACCTGCAAATAGAAACTCTTACATCTTGGAGCTGAAACTCACAGAACTGACTGAAACAAGCTGCCCAAAAAAATGCATTCTAATAAGGAACACAATGATAAATCACAAGATTGGGGGTAGCCTATTTTCAGACAAACCCAAAGAACAAAATACCCACGCACTAAATTTCTTGCTTTGATATCCAACGTCTTTGTTGGTTTGACCTCTTCAACCCTTATTCTTGTTGGTTAAATCATTAAAATCTCATTGTGCCCAATTCATCATCATCCAATTTCCCGCAAGAGAAACAATATCCTTTTGTCATTTATATGGAACAATCTTCCGTTTCGAGATAAGTGTCCCAGCCCCGGCTTTTTTAAATATAAACCTCCATTTAGTTCATTTGGTTCGGGCATCTCCCAAGTTTGACAACTCGACCCAGGCGCTTGCAAATCCGAGTGAACTTCAAGAGCTCGCGTGTTGTCTCTGTGGTCATTGGAACTGAAACGCTGAACTTCCACCGGCCTAACCCACCCGTACCGACCAAGCCAAATCCTGCTGCGAATGCAATGGCACAAAATGACACATGTCGTGATATGGGTATGGTGATGTATGGCCACAACTGGGGAAACTGTTTGGACCTAAAAGATCATTGTGGGTCTTGAAACCTTTTTTTATTGATATGTTTTTCTTTGTTAAACCCAAAAATAGGTCTTATTCATTGTGTTTGGTGTTTGATCGTCATATTTCCCCTTGAACGAATTCACGAACAATTCTTTGGGGCATCCTCCATTCTTGGACATAGCCATATCCATCATTCATTTGATGTTGTTTGATCAATGTTTGGAACCAAATCGGTTCCCATACCGATATATATATATATGATTATATATGCATATTTTATATTATATATGTATATATCCAATATATATATCCAGACATATTCCCATGATCCATGGCACCATTCCCAGGTGGGTTTTTCAAAAAAAGGCACTCCCTTCATCTCGGCCAGGTCGGAGGCATGGCTTTGGTCATGGCACCCGCCCAGGAGATGCACGTGATGATCGTGGCCTGTTCACGAGGTGAATCTGAAGCAACTGATAACTGGGCCCCATCCTGTATTATCTATATACATTACATATATATATATATAGATATAGATAAATATACATGATATATGAGGGATATCTAGACTTGGGCGCTGGGAAGAGGATGTTTCTGTCCCTAAGACTTTCATTTTCCATGGTATTTCTTAAAGTCTCGGCAACCACTAGTAGTACCCAAGTAGAAAACTGTAGACTTTGGGATTTCATCATTCCAGGCTTCGGTCGCAGTGAGGTCATTCGAATTTACCCAAATTATTGTGTACCTAGACCCTCCAAATAGCCTCAAAAATGCTGAAGTCAAGTTACAACGAAAGTGTATAAACATATAAAACATTATAAAACAATTTTTCAGTATTATTTCCATCATCATGAAATCAAAAATCACCATCAAATGAAACCATATGAAACTTTATTTTTTTGGTGTTTTCCAGAAAATAACCCACCAAAACACCCAGATCCATGGCGTTTTTTCACGACAAAACACTGCGTCCTTCGCCCCTTCGTCGCGAACGCGGACCTTGTCCATGGCTATGTCCATGTCCATGGGATCCATGGGATTCACCGTGAGCATGGCCTCGTGCTATGGTAATTTTTGTTGATGGTGTTAAAAATATATAGTATATATAGTATATATATAGTATATATAGTATATATAGTATATATAGTATATATAGTATATATAGTATATATAGTATATATAGTAGATATAGTATATATAGTAGATATAGTAGATATAGAAGATATAGTAGATATAGAAGATATAGTAGATATAGTAGATATAGTAGATATAGTAGATATAGTATATATAGTATATATAGTATATATAGTATATATAGTATATATAGTATATATAGTATATATAGTATATATATAGTATATATAGTATATATAGTATATATAGTATATATAGTATATATAGTATATATATATAGTATATATATATACATATAGTATATATATAGTATATATAGTATATATAGTATATATAGTATATATATAGTATATATAGTATATATTATATATACTATATATATAAATACTATATATACCATATATATTATATATACTATATATACTATGGATACTATATAGATATAATTATTAGATTGGCAATTTTATGTCAAATATGGACCCCATTGAAATCCAATGAATTAGATTGGTGTTTAATATATTTATATAAATAGTATAGATGGTATTAGCACCATAAAATCCCATTAAAACACCAACCGTATGTATGGTGCTAGTTGTGCTAAATGACACCAATTGTTTTATGGTGCGAAAAAATGTTTCATACTGTAGATGGTTTCTTATACACGATATACTATCTAATGTGCATTATTACTATTAGATGGTGTTATAATGTTATATGTATATATTATATTTCATCGTACTTGGTGACTCATCCCACGGATCCTAAGTAGGTGGATGTTCACCCCAATTTTTCAAGTGGTTTCATCCACCCGACTTATCCCAGGAACATCACCAGGGACAGAGCCTACTAAGTGGGATGATCCAACAAGTAGAACAATGGAGCAAAGTATGTTTTTTCCAAAGGAAAATCATCGGAACATGATTTACGACTATGGTAGAACTCATGGGTTCTCTTTTGTTTATCTATTTTGGCTGTGGCTACACCCCACAAGAAACGAGTTTAAGAATCAACATTGCCATGAACCACTAGATTTGGTCTTGTCCAAGAACCATGGGTGTCAACGAAGAAATTGTCTTGTCCGACTCCACCACTTATTTTTATAAACACGATGCAGCCCACGAACCCGAATGCTCACACGTATGTAAATGGTACAGATGTCAAAACACATGGATATGCAGTCACGCAGAACACTTTTCTGAAACAGTTTATTTGAAGAGTCTTGTACATTTGCCCCTGTTACCATACCGGTACACCGTAGACTGTGGAATATGGAAGAAGGTGGCGTGCTAAGTGTGGAGTGTGGAGTGTAGAGTGTGGAGTGCGGAGTGTAGAGTGCAAAGTGTGGAGTGTGGAGTGGGGAGGGTAACGTGTAAAGTGTAAAATGTGGAGTGTAAAGTGCAGAGTGTGGAGTGTAAAGTGTGAAGTGTGGAGTTTAGAGTGTGGAGTGTAAAGTGCAAAGTGTGGAGTGTGGAGTGTAAAGTGTAGAGTGTGGAGTGTAGAGTGTAGAGTCTGGAGTTTGGAGTGTGAAGTGTGGAGTGTAGAGTGTGGAGTGTGGAGTTTAGAGTGCGGAGTGTAAAGTGCAAAGTGTGGAGTGTAAAGTGTAGAGTGTGGAGTGTAGAGTGTAGAGTCTGGAGTTTGGAGTGTGAAGTGTGGAGTGTAGAGTGTGGAGTGTGGAGTGTGGAGTGTGAAGTGTAGAGTAGAGTGTGAAGTGTAAAGTGTAGAGTGTAAAGTGTAACGCGTGGAATGTAAAGTGCGGAGTGTAAAGTGTAAAGTGTGGAGTGTAAAGTGTAGGGTGTGGAGTGTAGAGTGCAAAGTGTGGAGTGTGGAGTGTAAAGTGTAGAGTGTGGAGTGTAGAGTGTAGAGTCTGGAGTTTGGAGTGTGAAGTGTGGAGTGTAGTGTGGGGAGTGTAAAGTGCAGTGTGGAGTGTAGAGTGTGGAGTGTGGTGTTTGGAGTGTAGAGTGCGGAGTGTAGAGTGCAAAGTGTGGAGTGTAGAGTTTGGAGTGTAAAGTGTAGAGTCTGGAGTTTGGAGTGTGAAGTGTGGAGTGTAGAGTGTAGAGTGTGGAGTGTGGAGTGCAGAGTGTGGAGTGTTAAGTGTAGAGTGTGGAGTGTAGAGTGTAAAGTGTGGAATGTAAAGTGCGGAGTGTAAAGTGTAAAGTGTGGCGTGTAAAGTGTAGCATGTGGAGTGTGGAGTGTAGAGTTTGGAGTGTAGAGTGTGGAGTGTGGAGTGTAAAGTGTGGAGTGTAAAGTTTGGAGTGTAAAGTGTAGAGTTTGGAGTTTGCAGTGAGGAGTGTAAAGTGTAAAGTATTGAGTGTAAAGTGTGGAGGGTGGAGTGTGCAGTGTAAAGTGTGGAGTGTAAAAAGTAAAGTGTGGAGTGTGGAGTGACAGTGAGGAGTGTAAAGTGTAGACTGCGGAGTCTGAAGTGTAAAGTGTGGAATGTAAAACGTGGAGTGTAAAGTGTAAAGTGGGGAGTGTCCTGTGTAGAGTGCGGAGTGTAAAGTGTAGAGTGTGGAGTGGAAAGCTTGGAGTGTAAAGTGTGGAGTGTAAAGTGTAAAGTGTGGAGTTTCCTGTGTAGAGTGTAGAGTGTGGAGTAAAAAATGTGGAGTGTAAAGCGTGGAGTGCAAAGTGTGGAGTGTAAAGTGTAAAGTGTGGAGTGTGGAGTGTAGAGTGTGGAGTGTAGAGTGTAAAGTGTGGAGTGGAAAGTGTGGAGTGTAAAGTATAGAGTGTGGAGTGTGGAGTGTAAAGTGTAGAGTGTAAAGTGTAGAGTGTAAAGTGCAGAGTGTGGAGTGTGGAGTGTACAGTGCACAGTGTTGAGTGCGGAGTGTGGAGTGTAAAGTGTAATGTGTTGAGTGTGAAGTGCAAAGTGTAGAGTGTATAGTGTGGAGTGTAAAGTGTAGAGTGTGGAGTGTAGAGTGTAAAGTGTGGAATGTAAAGTGACGAGTGTGAAGTGTAAAGGGTGGAGTGTGGAGTGTAGAGTGCGGAGTGTAGAGCATGCAATGCGACGCGTCTGAAGTGCAGTGGCTGCCACGCAAAATCACGACAGAGGTCTCCAACATGCTGCGCCTGCCACACAAAACGACTTTCGACACGTTACAAAACATGTCTGAGTGTCACAAAGTGCCGCGCCTGCCACGCAAAACAACATTATAACCTGCTTTTACACTTTCGAAAAGGAAAGGTTCTGCAGCTTTCCCCAACAGACACGGCCAGGCCACAGGAAAACCAGAGACTCGAGACGAGACACGTGGGAGCATCAAAACGAGCATGACTCGTGCGAGACTTCCTCCAATTTTCACACTTTGTAGCTTCAAAATGGATGTTTTCCTGCGGCTTTTCTTATGAACCTCAAAATTTACTACCTCAAAATCGATGTTTCGTGCGAAACTTCCGTCAATTGTCAGCACATCTCACAAAATGCCACGCCTGCCACAGAATTTGCACCTTGTCGCCACTTGACGCAGCCCTGACAATGCGATTCACAAAAAAAACGCAAAACACGACACATGCTGCGCATGCCACGCAAAATGACGGTGGACACGTCCAAAGTGCTGCGCCTGCCACGAAAACTGCAAGTCATCTTGCGAAAACGTCGCAAAAGTATTGCGCAACGACTTTCGACACGCTACAAAGCACGTCTGAATGTCAGGAAGTGCCACGCCTGCCACGCAAAACGGAGCAACACCACATGTGAAACCTCCAAAAGTGACCCATTTTGCAGAACTTACCATAGGCACGGCCATACGGGGCTCGCGCGGACTGTTGCGGATGGTTGCGAACGTTTGCAGACGGTCGCGAACGGTTGCAAACGGTTGCAAACGGTTGCGAACATAAACGCAACGTCGAGAGAACACACCCTCAACCCACAGACCCCCAGAGTGAAACGGGAACCCTTGCTATGCATTCGGGAAAAAACGTAATGCCATGATTTTTTTTAAGGGCTTAATAGAGATCATATTGGGATGATAAATTGGAGAATTCCTCCAGCATGGAACATCCTTGAGAGGTTTATAGATGGGAAAATCATCATGCTAAATTTTACTAAATGGGGGATTTCCAAATGTTTCCACATATATATATATTTAAGATTATATAAGGAAAATTGTAAAAACCCCGAGCCCTTTCAAATGGTTTTTCCAGACGGTATCTTTTTCCCCACCTGCCAGGTGAGGGTTGTTAGATTTTATCAGAGCGCATGCCCGCCTCCTCCTCCTCCTCCTCGACTAGCTGTCCTCCTCGCCGTCCTCCTCGCATCCGCCTCTTCCACCTCCACTTCCGCCTTGCTCCACCTCCACTTCCGCTGCCCAGCTCAGTGCGCACTGCTGGACGTCAACCTGCGAGCTGCCCAGCTCAGTGTGCACCGCTGGACCTCAACGGACAGATAGAATGCCAGAAGATATGCCAGATGGAATGTCAGATAGAATGCCATGAGATATGCCAGATAAAATGCCAGATAAAATGTCAGATAGAATGCCACAAGACATGCCAGATAGAATCCCAGAAGATTTGCCAGATAATATGCCAGAAGATATGCCAGATAGAATGCCAGATAGAATGCCAGAAGATATGCCAGAAGATATGCCAGAACATATGCCAGAAGATATGCCGGATAGAATCCCAGAAGATATGCCAGATAATATGCCAGATAATATGCCATGAGATATGCCAGATGGAATGCCAGAAGGTATGCCAGATAGAATGCCAGATAACATGTCAGATAGAATGCCACAAGATATGCCAGATAGAATCCCAGAAGATTTGCCAGATAATATGCCAGAAGATATGCCAGATAGAATGCCAGATAGAATGCCAGAAGATATGCCATGAGATATGCCAGATAGAATGCAAGAAGCAATGCTTGTGGTGGAAGATATGCCAATATTAAAACGTATAAATGTCATGGTGGGGATCACTCGAAGTAAAGTATTTTTTTCCTCTTATCGTTTTTCCAAGCGCTGGCTTCACACCTTGATGAAAGAATTCACATGAGCGAGGAAAGGGAAAAAGAAAAGGAATAGTAAAGGAAGGGAAAGGAAAGAATAGAAAAGGGAGAGGAAAAGGAAAGAGAAATGAAAAGGAAAGGGAAAGGAAAAGGAAAGGGAAAGGAAAAAGAACGCGAAAGGAAAAAGAACGCGAAAGGAAAAGGAAAGGAAAATGAAAGGAAAAGGAACGGAAAAGGAAACGAAAAAGCAAAGGAAAAAGGAAAGGAAAAAGGAACGGAAAAAGGACAGGAAAAAGGAAAGGAGAAGAAAAAGGAAGAGTAAAGGAAGAAACAGGAAAAAGGAAAAGAAAGGGAGAGGAAAGGGAGAGGAAAGGGAAAGGAAAGGGAAAGGAAAGCGAAAGGAACGGGAGAGGAAAAGGGGAAAAGGGAGTGTCTCACACGGAGCATTTTTGATGTCAAAAGTTATCGTTTTGTTATCGTTCATGACTCCTGTGTCTGTTCCTTTTTTTGGGGGAAATGGCTACAATCATCAAAAAAGGAGTGTAGCGACCGCCTACCAGGCACCTTCCTTGTGCAGAATCTGCGCCATTACGACAACAAACAATGAAAGGAAGATACCAAACGCACTAAATAGCCGCAGAATGATGGAAAAATCAAGAACTTTGGATTTCAAGAGTCTGGACACAGATCATTAACATAACCAACGTTATCGTTTTTTTTCCTCTTATCATTTTTTCGAGTGAAAGCTAAAAATGGCTCATGGGGGATCATGGAAGACTAAACGAATAGGCGCGGGGTTTTTACAGACTCCCATATATTTATATATCAGCATATGATCAAACGATTTCGGGACAGTTTGGCACAAGTGAGATCACAGAGTGTTGCTGCTGCTATTTTCTTCCCCGCTTGGGCGTCAGCCCTGATACCCTTCTGTTCTGAGGTTTATGGGATCTTCATCACTGTTCATTCTAAGTCATATGGCATAAATCACGTTTTTTGTACGAACTGATATTTTTCACTATGAAATACATTGATTCATACAAAGTGGCCATGATAACTATAGTTTATGATATACTTCAAGAGGGGGCGCAGTCCATTGCCACATTTCATGGTCGCCAAAAAGGGCTTTCCGCCCGCCTCGCACCGCAGTGTGGCCGTCATGGCCGTGATGGTGGCCATGGCTATGGTGGTGATGGTGACTGTGGTGGCCATGGTGGCTATGGTGGCCACTTGAATGACCTGCCAGGAATCTCATCTCCCCCTGTCAGCCCAGAAAGATCCAGAAACCCTGGTGGATGTAGAGGATGAAACATATGAAACCACGACTGCTGAAGCAATTTTGGGGATGTTTCATGGAGAATGAGAGTATTCTAGACATCTTCGATCTTTTTCGAGGGGTTCCTTCCGGCCACGGCTTCAAGGGATGCAACAACATCCAAGAATTTCTCAGCCTTTTTTTCAGCATCCCGAGGTTTCAACAAATCAGAAAAGATCTCTACGATTTATGGAAACAATGATTTTATCATGGAAGGTATATAGCTTTGCCTGAGATTCTTCTGATTGAATACCCAGGACTTGAAATTTGCTTGATCACAGCAGCAGCTTGTGCTGCGAGTGAAGATGCCGATAAAACAAATCTATGGATATACAATATCATGAATGCCTGAAGTGAAAGACAAGACATTTCTTGGACAGCCATCAAGCCTGACTGGATGTAACTGGATTTTTTGGCAACCTTGTGACGGGCAATCACAAGGTACCAATACTGTGGTAAACCCACTGTCTTAAACCATCCCCAGAATCACCAGAAATGGCTGGGATTTTTTCCCCATCCCCAGTCATGGTAGGTTTACTCTTGGCTTTACCACTTTATCCAACAAGAAACATCATGGGACTCTGATCACCGGCTTCCCCAAGCGACCTGGGACTGGGGTAAGTTCATATAAGTTCTCAGTCATGAAAACTGCTCAACGTCTCCACTCATCATGGCTAGATTACCCTCTGGTAAACTAAGATAACTATGAGTTCCATCAGCATTTGTAATGAGTAAATCCACTATTTCTATGGCCATGTTCCATAGCTATGTCACTTTACCAGAGGGTAAGCCATTGTTTCCTCCGAAAATTTAAGCTCCAAGTTCTCCATCTCCAAGGAAATTCCTCTGGGGGACTCACAACGGCTGAAGATCATGTTCCAAAAATGCTATAAATCATGGCTAATCATGGAAAAAAACATCTAGCTAAATGATGATCATTCAGAAAAAGCTGGTATCTTCGGCGATGTTGGGAGAATTCTCCGAAATCCAATTAACCCATCATTCCAGGCTTCGGTCGCTTTGTGTCGTTATGAAATTTCCCAGATTCATTTTGTTTTTATTGTTCTTCTATCATGCATACAATTCCGGAAAATACCAATATTTGGGAACATCTTTGAAAAGGGTTGGTAAAATAGCTTTAAAGACAACTTATTACTAAGCCATTCAATTCCGTTTTCCCCTGCTTTGATGCAAAAAGATCCCGAGCAACTCTGCCTCTCCATGTCTGGTACCATAGCGCACTTGGTCCTCGATCTAGTGGGGAAATCTGATTGGAGAAAGTCTGCGGACATGATATAGGTTTATCGGTTTATCTAATTGTAGGTGTTTTCCCCTATGTCAAGAGATCTATATTCTATGGGGAAACTATAGGTTTATCATGGTTTATCAAATGATATATAGTGAATCTCCATGTCGACATGTTTCAAGCAAACTTTGGGCAGCAACGCCGGGTGAAAGAAGGGCATATTCCAAATCATTACAAATCATGAATATCCAACTTCACATGGTGGTTTCCTAAAAAAAGTGGTACTCCCAAATCATCCAAAAGTTGATCATATTAGTATTGAAATCCATGGTTTTGGGTACCCCCCATTTTAGGAAACCTCCAAATAGCAAAATAGCAAACCAAGTTCTGAATGGAATGAATTGGAACACCTCTCATGAAACTTGGGAAAACTCGAATTTCCGGTATACCTACAATGTGGGGCCCCCCCAGTTATAAGATGGTTTAAAAACCCCATTAACTATAGTTATAGGTACCATAAACCATAGTTATTGGAGTTATGTTCACCAACTTAGCTATCGAACGGGGGCCCCACTTTGTAGGTTTTTATACATACCCTCTGGTTATTTAACATAGCCATGGAAAAACCCTCATAAATGGAGCTTTCTAGCTGGGGAAATCATCTATTTCTATGGGCCATTTTCATCCATTTTCCATGGCTATGTTAGTCATAACCAGAGGGTAGGACATGTTTTCTTCGCTTCTCCTTGGCGTAGAAGGCGACCGTTTTTTGGCCGACAATTTCGGAAGCCTTGCGGCTCCAACGACCTGGATCCCGGGGGAAGGTATCGATGAGCGGGTCAAGGGTGGCCATTAAATATAGCCTTGTATATATATATATATTATATTATATATACGGCAAATGCCTGGGTTTTGCCCGGACCCGCAATGACGACGGGCGACTCATCATCATCATCATCAACATCATCAACATCAGCATCATGATCCTCAACATCATCATCATCATGATCATCAACATCATCATCATCATCATCAACATCATCATCATCATCATCAACATCGTCATCATTGCGGGGGTGGGAGTTTAATATTCCCTAATATCTTTGTTGATCTTCCCAATTGCATGTAAAGTTTAACGGGGGTGGGAGTTTAATATTCCCTAATATCTTTGTTGATCTTCCCAATTGAATTTAAAGTTTAACGGGGGTGGGAGTTTAATATTCCCTAATATCTTTGTTGATCTTCCCAATTGCATGTAAAGTTTAACGGGGGTGGGAATTTAATATTCCCTAATATCTTTGTTGATCTTCCCAATTGCATGTAAAGTTTAACGGGGGTGGGAGTTTAATATTCCCTAATACCGTTTTTGTTTTTCCCATAGGAATTTCGGGTGTTTTGACTTTTTTTTTATATATAGTCCCTAGTACCTTTGTTGTTTTTCCCATAGGAATTTAAGATTTAACGGGGGTGGGAGTTTAATATTCCCTAATATCTTTGTTGATCTTCCTAATTGAATTTTAATTTTCACGATTTAAGAGTTTAAAATTTGCTAGTACCTTTGTTGTTTTTTCCACAGGAATTGCAGGTGTTATGCCGTTTTTGTTTTTCCCATAGGAATTTCGGGTGTTTTGACCTTGTTTGTTTGATAGTCTCTAGTACCTGTGTTATTTTTCCCATAGGAATTACGGTAATTTGCAACATCATTTGTTCATGAATGGGACATACATACGCTGCAACCCCTGGGCAGAACCCAGGCGTTGCGCGTATATATATATATATATATATGTATATATATATATATGTATATATATATATTATATATATATATGGTAGGTGCCAAAATTATAAAACGGAAGTTGAGGCGTACGAAGGTACGGTTATTTACCGTACCCTGTTGTTCCATAATTCTGTTTTACTCGGAAGGTATGAAAAAACACTTATCTTAACTTACTCCTATTTTTTTTCATCGTTCTACAATTCTGGTTTGTTCTATAATTGTGTGTTCCCCCATTTTTCCCACATTTATCAGTTTCGTTCTTTTTTTTCCCGTTCTACAATTAATTTTGCGTAAACTGTTCTATGATTATTTCTGTGTCACTTTTTTCTCGGGTCCGAAGGAGTACGTACGAAAAATGAATTTGTAGAACAGAAAAAATAATTATGGAACAGAAAAAAATATTATAGAACAGGATCCGAATCCGCCCGGAATCGGGATCCGGAGGAGTACGAAGGTACGGTATTTTACCGTACTTTTGTACTCTTAATTTCGTTCTATAATTCTGGCACCTCCTGTATATATATATTATATATATAATGAATGCGCATTAAATGTAGATAGAGAGTGAGGCCCACTATCATCATGTTATGTATGTATATGTATATATATAATATACATTTGTATAGGTAAATAAGTGTCTATAGAACTGTACATAGGTTTAGAAAGATTATGTATGCATGTATATATTACAGATACATATTTATCATGTTTAAAGGCACACCATGACACACCCATTACAGTTCTGTAACTCATATAAACAAATTTATGTTCTAATCTCCAGGCATCGAGACATAAGTGCTTTGCTATATTCTTGGAGTGATGTACCTTCAAAATCTTTCAACTATGTATTAGCACATGAGCCATGGCTCATCGTCAACTGGTCAAGAGAATTGGCGTTACGGGGTCGCTATTGGCGTTACAACATTATCACTTACAAACACTTCCACATGATACTTACTTTTTACATCTTTTTACCATAGAACTGACTACAATCTTATTGGTTGATGTTTGGCTTTGTTCTATCCTATAGCATCCATCCCAACTTCCATATCATCCGAGCGCAGTCGAAACAGCTCGTCTCCCGCCTTAGATGCCTCCCACTCAATGCTCGGCCACACAACCCGGAGCCGCCCGGAGAAGCACGTGCTGCACGCGACATGGAATGCAGAGTGGTGAATTCAGGAAAAGTTGAACATGTTGAGCCCCTGCTAAAAGTAAACGCTGCTTTCCAGCTGCATAGATTTTTGTTCAAACAACAGCTTTTTGTACTTATCAATGAGCCTATGGCTACAATCCATCCAGTCTTTGATGGGCTGTGATCTCTGTGTTTTCTTCAATTTCGGTTTGTGGTTGGGCCATAATATCATGTCAAACTAAACCTAGAATCTGTACCTAGACCCTCCAAATAGTGTCCGAAAAATGGTAAATCTACTAAACATATGGTATGGCTACTTTCTAGGTAATCTATAGAACTACCTCCATAAAAATGGTGCAAAGTACTAGTTGAGTATGGGGCAACACACCAATGTCGAAGGCGAAAAAAAACTGGGTGCCATTTTGACAGGCCCAAGCTGGCACTGAGATCAGATCCCCAGAATTGGGCTATTCAGAATTGTGATCATGTTGGTCATGTTGAGAAATATATGGAGAAATGACATGAAACAATGACATGACCACAAGTTTCAGTGTCTTCTCCGCTGTCCTTAGAGGTAACTGGAACCGAAACTGCGGGGCGGCTCTGCCAAAGGACTTGGCTTAAGTGTCTGAGCCCATTTCCAGATCGATTGCATTCGTTTCGCTTTGGGCTTAAGTCAGAATTTCCCCTGATTCAAAATTTAAAATAGAACTTTGGAGAAAGTGCTGGCAATACCATGCACAATTGGGATGGTGAGTTGCGCAATCGTCGTTGCCATCTTCGTTTGCGTCCTCGGTTTTGACATGTCTCCCGAATCGCCAAAGGGAGTAGCTCCATCAGCGAGGTCATCGTCTAATTTCACACGCATTTCATATACCCCCCTATCTGTATGGATTGGGAGATGACATGGGATAAGCAAACGCCAGAATAACTGGATAGAAGCCCTGATCAACCCTAATCGTCGACCCGTACAACTGGATTGTACCGAGGAACATGAAAGTATATTTCAAAGACATTCTAAACTAGTGCTTTCGAGCATACTCCACTTGTAAAACATGGGTTTTGCCGTCTTTTGAGGTTATTAGTATTGACATCCAATATCATCCTTCCAAAAAAAACAGAAAAATCATAAGACTAAACAATCAAGGTGCGATAGTGCTAGGCCTTCGAACATTTACCGGAATTTCTGCGAATCCATAAAGCCAAACGATTCTGACCTTATATATACCTTCAGGCAAAGGTGCATGGATATCATGGATATAAACATCACATAAATAAGTAGTAGATGTCACTAAAGCAAGAAATTTGTCCTATAAATTAAATATATACACATTTTTCCATACATGTACAGTAATTCCTATAATTAAAAAGCACATAAAAAGGAAGGAAACACATGGAAACGCTAAAGGCAGGTGTCAGTGCCTCGTTCTTGCAGGGTTGTCGTATCTCCACAACCCGAGTTTGAAATGATATCAAGTGCCGAAAAACAACGAGACGCCCAAAACGTTATTGTTGAATTCATGACGTTCCCGTTTCTAGGGTTGTTCGTCGTTGTACTGCTTCATGCATCAACATGTTTGCCTGTTGCTTGATATCCACATCTAGGCTCACTTCGGCTTATGCACAAGTCAATATAGGTGTTGCTTCAGGTGGGATCACAATTACTACCCTCTGGTAAACTGACATAGCTATTGAACATGGCCATTTAGAGTTGATTTATACCGTATTTATACCCATTAAAATTGTGATTTTACATAGTTATGTTAGTTTACCAAAGGGTAGACTACCAAAGACCTTTAAACATGCTGTTGTTTCCCCATTATTTAGTACGTTCTACCAAAGTTTGGATGGCATGTGGAGGGTCCAGGATTATTCAGGTATATCATATCATGTTCACCAAAATTGATATGTTTCAGACCCTGAAAGTGACATAATGACCAGCCCAATGGCCCGATGACTGGAATGCTTCATAAAAGCAACCCTTGACAGTCCTTAACTGATGATAATGGATAATCCATATCCCATCATTCATGGTGGATGGTTTGTCTAAAAGAGTGCTCCAAAAATTTGATGCAACACCATGTTCCAACTTAACACATCAATCTTTGAAATGGGTGCTAAAAAAATCATCTCCAGACACAAAATGCCAAACACCATGCCCTCACCTTGCGCCAAGTTTTCCAATCTGCATCCACCTGAGCAAGGCCCCAAGGCCCACGACTTTTTGACCACAAAAACATCGATCAATGGGAATTCCAGGATCCTAAAATGGAGGTACTGTACCATATAAGGCCATCTTTTGTTGGGATATTCCCTTACATAGGCCTTATATACTTGGATTTTCTTAGGAGACCGCGCAAAGGCCAAACAAACAAAACCATGGTATTATTATAAACCATCCCATCTGGGGATGCACATGCATGGATGTTAGGAGCATCCTTTTAAAGGACATTTTGATGGAACATGTTGCCAAAATATGTTGCGGCTTGGCACGTTTCAGCCAATGTTGCGCCTGCCACGTGACTTCATTGATGTACTGCGCCTGCCACGTGACTTGCCTTAAGTTCTTAAGATGTTGCGCCTGCCACGCGACTTGTCTTAAGTTCTTAAGTTCTTAAGATGTTGCGCCTGCCACTCATTGATACTGCGCCTGCCACGTGACTTGTCTTAAGTTCTAAAGATGTTGCGCCTGCCACTCATTGATGTATTGCGCCTGCCTATCTATATCATAGATAATCGTTATAATCAAGTGGATCATCACGTCATCAATCACTACTTGGGGGGTCGCTAAAGGGGAAGGTAGGTGAAAAAGATGATATGTGATAGTTGTCAACGGTGGCCTAAATTTGGCGACATCCCGGTAAATCAGGTGGAAAAAACAAGTTTTTTTTTTTGGCTGCTTGCAATGATTTGATCCTTGTTGTTCCAAACAGTATGGTAAATCTTGGCAAAGCAATGGAGTTTTGGGAAAAAGCGACGTGCCGTTGAGAGCGTTGGCTCAAAGTGTTCGAAAACCATTTACAACTGACTACTTTGGAAATTCTCCATATGCCTCGTCGCCGTGCCCAGACCAAGACGGGTCAGGCTGCGAGCTTGCCAGGGAAGCTCTGGGAAGCTTGGACTCAACATTTACTTAAGACTGGACCCACATGGGTGTGGGTGGCGGTTATCCTCACCCACATCCTTTGCTGCAGGATCACAGAGATCCTGTGGTTGAGAAACAAAAATTCGATTTCAAAAGACGCTGTGTGACAATTCGCGCACTGAAGAGTCAACCCCAGGCTAGGGTTTTCAGAGATGTGTATCTATGTTTTGTATGTGATGTGATGTGATGTTATGTTATGTTATGGTATGTATGTTATGCATCTTATGTATGATATGATATGTGATGCAATGAAATGAATGTTATATTATGATATGTTATGTCGTGCTATGTATGTTATGTTATGCATGTTGTTTTGTTTGTTATTCGATGTTATGTTAAGTATGTTATGCTATGTTATGTTATGTTATGTTATGTATGTTGTGCATTTTATGTAACGTAATGTAATGAAATATATGTTTTATTGTGTTATGTTATGTTATGTTTTGTTATGTTATGTTTTGTATGTCAAGACTTGTATGGAAAGTCATGTTATGTTATGGTATGTTATGATATGTTATGTTATTTTATGGTGTGTTATGTTATGGTGTGTTAAGTAAATATGTATGTATGCATGCATGCATGCATGTATGTGTATGTATGTATGTATGCATGTATGAATGTATGTATGTAATGTAGTGTAGTGTAGTGTAGTGTAATGTAATGTAATGTATTGAAATGTAATGTAATGTAATGTAATTGCATGCATGCATGCATGCATGCATGTATGTATGTATGTATGTATGTGCATTTGTCTATGTGAATATGTTTCTTTGTCGTGCGAAAGGGTTTTAACATATATCGCGAAAGAACACAATAAATATGTATGTTTATATAATTGGATATTCATACATGTTTACTGTACATTATACGGCGCTCTTTCCCTGAAGGTTCGCAAATGGCTATTCACATCCGTACTTCCACTTCTTCGGAAACTGAGGGACCATGGGAAGACCCGAAAATGCCAGCGCGAGTGCGGAGCACGAGGCAAAGAAAAGGTTGATGACAGCTGTAAATGTCTAGCTACGTCTCAACTCAACTCGATCACTCAGCGATAGCGGCTATTCGAAGCAAAGTCAGACCAAACTGCACACCCTGAAGTTTCCAAACAGGGTTTCAACGCACACTGCAAGTCACTAATTCAGAGCCGAACGTTCAGCTCCGAAGTTGGTGATTATCAGCTTCCTCACTTGTAGTTTATAACAAGTTGGGTGGAAACTACATAGGTGATTTTTTCTCAACAACCTCAGCCTGGCTAGTCCCAGGTACGGAGCCGAACGTTCAGCTCCGAAACTGTGACGAACAGGCATCGCTGAATCACTATTTCGATGGTGTAAAACCTAGATTCTCAGTGAATTTTCTTAAGGATTTAGCAAAACCAAAGCCCAGAACATGGAGACATCATCCAAATCCACAAATTCAAGACCGACCTTTTAACTCCAATCGGTATCGTTCTGCCCAGGATTTCACAGCTGACGCGACTGCAGTGATCCACTCTGAGCTGTCATCAACCTTTTCTTTGCCTGGTGCTCCACACTGGCGCTGGCATTTTCGGGTCTTCCCATGGTCTCTCAGTTTCCGAAGAAGTGGAAGTACGGATGTGAGTAGCCATTTGCGAACCTTCAGGGAAAGAGCGCCGTATAATGTACAGTACACATGTATGAATATCCAATTATAGAAACATACATATTTATTGTGTTCTCTCACTATATATGTTTAAACCCTTTCGCACGACAAAGAAACAGATTCACATTACACAAATGCACATACATACATACGTACGTACGTACATACATACATACATACATACATACATACATACATGCATGCTACATTACATTACATTACATTACGTTACGTTAGGTTACGTTACATTACATTACATTACATTACATAC